CACCGGTACCAACCTTTTAAAATTCCTTCCACTGTCTTTCTCAATTCAGTGGCATCACAAGAATGATATAGGTATCACCATATTTAAAGGGGGTTAATACTTACACTAACTGTCCTGTTTCAAACTTAATTTCAGAGTTTCATAGGAAGGAAGGGAAGAAATTAGAGTTTCATTTTAACTTGTTCTGACTCTCCTAAAGGAAATTATTTAAAAAATGTCTTGATCTCTCACCAATGCTTTCTCTCTTTCAATCTTCTGAAACAAGGGGGTTTTGGTTGTTGGTTTGGTGGGGGTTTTTTTGTTTGTTTGTTTTTTTAAATACAGACCAATTTTTAATGTCAGAATCAATTGCTGTGGTTACCTCTTTGGCTCTGATGGGTAAAGAACTTCTTAACTTCTTCCGGAGGTAGAATAAGACTTCTGATTTGTGAAGTGACTTTATCAAACCAAATTAGTAGTGACTAGACCAGAATAAAACAATTAGAAATAAGTTCAGACATGCACTTTGTTTACTTTAAAATGTATTTTGAGACAAAGACTGAATATGTTGTTCATCAGTTCCTGCCTCTGAAATTTCTATTTCCCGATAAAAATAAATGCATCTTTAACCTCTGTTTGTGGGGAAAACAGGAATATGCTGACTCCGTTTTTCTCTGCATCTCTGCTTCCCTACAGCAACTGTGTTATGATGATGGCCAAAGGAAATCACACACCCAGTGCTGAATTTGTTCTCTCAGGGTTCTCAGAGCAGGGGGATGTCCAGGCTGTCCTCTTCATGGTCTTCTTGGTGATCTACGTGATCACTCTGCTGGGGAATCTGGGGGTGCTCGTGTTAATCAGACTGGATGCCCAGCTTCACACCCCCATGTACTTCTTCCTGAGCAGCCTGTCCTTCCTAGACATCTGCTATTCCTCCTCAATCACCCCCAGACTGCTCTCGCATCTCCTAGCAGAAAGGAAGGTCATTTCTTACTCCTCGTGCCTCACACAATTTTATTTCTATGCGGTCTTTGCCCCCACCGAGTGCTACCTCTTGGCTGTGATGGCGTATGACCGCTACGTGGCCATCTGCAGCCCACTGCTCTATGTCATCTCCATGTCCAGCAGAGCACAAACTCTGCTGGTAGTTGGCTCGTACCTTACTGGGATTGTGAGTGCCACTATCCACACAGGGTTTGCACTTCGGCTCTCCTTCTGTGGTCCCAACATCATCAACCACTTTTATTGCGAGGGCCCCCTGCTTTACACCATCTCTTGCACGGACCACACTGTCAATGAGATTCTGATGTTCGTTGTGGTTGGCTTCAACCTCTTTGTCACCAACCTGACCATCCTCATCTCCTACACCTACATCCTGGCCACCATCTTGAGAATGCGCTCGGCCATGGGGAAACTCAAAGCCTTCTCCACGTGTGTGTCCCACCTGACCATCGTGACCCTCTTCTATGGATCCGCTGCATCCATGTACTCACGACCCAGCTCCAGGCACTCCCATGACCTCGACAAAGTGGCCTCTGTGTTCTATGCGGTGGTGACCCCCATGCTGAACCCCCTCATCTACAGCGTGAGGAACAAGGAGGTGAAGAATGCTCTGGGGAGAGTGATGAAGAGGAAACGTTAATCTGAAAAGTAGTTTTCCCTGGTGCGTCAGAGGAATTGAGAGGTCTTCTCAGAAATGTTTGTACTTTCCATTTCTGTACAGCTATGGCATAAAAAAAGCAGTGCTCTCCTGTGAGCTGCTGGGGACAAATGTATTGGGAAACCTCTGCCTTGTTCCTAAATACTGGGTCATTAACTCCTCTTGGATTAGCCCATTCACTGACCTCTCTCAGGGATGCGTTAGCTACCTTTATTTGTGTTTACAGCCTAATATTATTTTAATTTCAATAATTTAAACCCTCTGACCTTTTGTAGTTTGCGAATGCATTACCACTGTTGTCTCGAGCAACGACAACAAATAACACCTATTGCTTTCAGCGTGACTATGACGACCAAAGCTCTCTTCATATCAAATAATAGACACATTTCTGGTGAACACAAGAGTCAGGTAACTTAGTGCTCCCAGTATTAGAAATAGACACTGGGATTCATAACAACAATTCACTGCAACAAGACTTGTCAGGCCTTTTCTGCAACTTACTTTAGCTCAACAGTAGCTGTATTTTCAAATTTATTTGAGAAACTTCACCAGTGCCTGCAACTTGCTCAAGGACCAGAGAGCTGTCATCTGGCATCTCCTGTGAGTAATGGTAAAATTACGCAGTCAGGTACCTGCTCACTATCCTGGCATTTTGATCTTATTTTGGTTATATTAACTGGTTTTGCTTAGTTTTGAGCAATTGTGTGATTTTTCCCTCTAAAATAAATCATGAGATACAGGGGAATGACAAAAAACTTTAGCAACTATACTGTAGCTAACCCCATAGACCAATAGGAGAGAAAAGAGTGCTGACCAGGAACAAATATGGGGTAGAAACATTTAGAAGTGATCCTGAGCAGACCCAAGACTGGCATGGAGAAAATTCCCACTACAACCAGTGCTCCCACCAAGCACCATACCTCCTCAGCAAGAAGCTCAGGGTGCTGCTGGGTCACTGCATCATCCCACCAAGGAAGAAGGGCCTCAGTCTGCAGGTGGGAATTTAACCTCAGGGATGAGGGGCAGGTACTTTAATCAGAGAAACCTTGAGGAGCATTGCTCTCCATCCATCCAGGCCCCCACAGCTGTCCTTAATACAGTCACATATCATCACACTGACTCTCCAACTCATCAGCTTTTGGGGCCTGGACTAGGTCTGACAAGCAAGGCAGCTGTAGAAGTGCACTTTGTTGTTAACAAGGAAGAAAGTTTCTTTCTTGTTAGCCCCTGCTGATTAGTCTCTCATGGCTTGTTAAGAAGAATGAGATAAGTTGACTACAAGCCCTCTGAGAAGCTTTCATGGTGATTAGGAAACTTTCTTGGTAAACCCCAGAAGGTCTTGTTAAGCTGATGACTCCTGGAAGGGTGGTTGGTCCCCAAGGGCCACTTCTTCCTCTGGGAAGGGGAGCAGCATCACTTGTGATGGAAATAGCTGTAACCACCTGTCTGGCGAGAGCCGGGACCTCAGGCTTGCTGGAGGGCCTGCTGGAGGGCTTTCTGTGCTGGGACAAGCTTGGTCATACACTCTCAATAAAGAGACACCCTTGTCTTCATGACATGTGCAGATAACATGGTTCCCTTGGTTCTCACTAATGGGGTGATTTGTCCCCCCCTGCTTTTGACCCCCTATCAGAGGGAGCCGGGGAAGGTTGTTGCATTTCTCTTCATCTTTGCACCTCCTCTAGAACACCTCACGCCTTGAATTTCTTGTCATTAATTTCCTTGGGACAGATTAATTCTTAAACTGTGAGGCAAGTTGAAGTACACTACATACACCCTCCATGTCTGACTGGTTTTCATAAACGTGATTTTCCTACCATTATGAATCTGGGACTGGACAGTAAGCATGGGAATGGGTTCACCTGGCTCTCCACATCTAAAAAATTTGTTGTCTAATTATGAGATAGTCAGCCAGGTCCCCTTTAAAATATGTAGGAATAAGAAGATGTTTTATCACATCCTAGGACAGATCGTTAGAACGGATGTGGTGGAACAGGAACAGGTCTAAAAGCACTGGTACCATGGACCAGCTGTCTATGGTATATGCATTTCAGAATAGTTTTCTCTGGATTAAATTTATTCTGCTCTGGGTATCTGAACACCTACTGGAGGTCAAACTGCATTAGGTGTCCCCCTCAAGCCCATTTTCAGTTTGTTTTCATCCAAAAGTAACCCAGCTCATGTGGCCTGACCCCAGCCTGCGATGTGAATGAAAATACAGTGAGAGGAGAAAGCTTGGAGATCTTCAAACTTAAACTCTTTAAACTGCACTGTCTGAACAAAAACTACAAAAATAGAAACACAGCTTTATTGATCACAAATGGAGACAAGGAACTCTGACTTAATCACTCAATTTTTATTTATCTAAATTTGAAGGAGATTAATCTACTTCAGACCACCTAATCCCTCCCCCCAACACTCTTGATAATAATAATAAAAAGAGCTTTATTGGGTTTTGGTTTTTTTTCCTCTCAGTTGGGCTAAAACTTTATAAAGGAAAAAAAGATACTTTAATAACTAAGAAACTGCTTCACCCTTTTTGCATGTTTTCCTACAAGTGGTGCTGGAAACTTTTGCTTAAGTTGCAGGAAAGGAGCAAGATGCAGTGAAATTCCCCAGGCCAGGTCTGGGTTTCATTGCCCTCATGTAGAAATCTGGTGCCATTTGCTCTGTCCTGAGGTGCCAAAGACATTGGCATGCACTTGACATGTATGCCACGCAACCTTCAGAAGAGTTGGGCCATTCTGGAGCGACATCTGAAAGCTCAGGGGGAGACCCGGGGCTATCTCCAGGGTGTTTAAAATCTACATTCATGGAACTGAACTCAATCCCAGATGCCTCTGTTCTTCTTGACATTGGTTCTTCCAATCTGACCCACTCTATCCACACTGGTGTGAACGTTTCACTGGGAAAATAGTCTAGGACTATGAAAAGTATGTTTATGTGGTGCAAAAACAGCATTGTGAAGAAATAACTGGGACGGCTCAGGAGTAGAGGCATGTTACTTCATGACGCATGGAGCTCCCCCTGAGCTACGGGTTTGGGTGTAAGTAAGGAATATTTAATCCAGCTAAAGCATAGGGTGAAGATGATGTACAACAATGAGACCAGCCACTGCTAAGGTCCCATTTTATAGTACAGATATAAATTATATACGGGGAGAGGTGGGAAGGAGAGCAGGTCTGCACAGTGGCATGTCCTGTCCATTAGGAAGCACGTCAGGATCAGAAGAGTTTATGCTCCTCCCTTGCATCCTCCTGCACCTATTGTGAAAAGCAACAAATGAAAACACAAACAAGAAAAGATTGGTACACTTCTTGCTGTATGCATCTTTGGGGACGTAATCCCTGTTTTTCTTCTGTTAAGAAGCTGTCTGTCTCTTCACCAGTCTCTTCAGTGCCCCCTTCACCTCCTGGTTCCTCAGGCTGTAGATGAAGGGGTTCAGCATGGGGATCATCACCGTGTAAAACACAGAAACCACCTTGTCCCTCTGAAGTTGAGGCATAAATAAAGAGGATGGAGCCATAGTATAGGTTGACAGTGGTGAGGTGGGCAGCACAGGTGGAGAAGGCTTTGTGCTTCCCCTCGGCCGAGCATGTCTTCAGGACGGCAGCCAGGATGGAGGCATAGGATGCGAGGATGAGCGTGGAGGGGAGGATTACATTGAAGGTCAGGATGACATACAGGAGTGCCTGGTAGCTGTCTGTCACATCGCAGGAGAGCTTCACCAGGGGGGCAGGTGGCAGAAGAAGTCATCGATGACGTTGGTATTGCAAAAGCTGAGGGCAAACGTGCGGCTGGTAATGAGGGTGGAGTTGGCAAAGCCGCTGAGGTAGGAGGCAGCCACCAGCCCCATGCACAGCTTCTTGGACATGGCAGCAGAGTAGAGCAGTGGGTTGGAGACAGCCACGTACCGGTAGTAGGCCATTGCTGCCAGCAGATAGCACTCAGTGTAGGCCAAGCCACCAGAGACAAAGAACTGAGCAGCACACCCAGCGAAGGAGATGCTTTTGTCCTCGGAGACGCAGTTCAGCAGGATCTTGGGGGTATAGACGGAGGAATACCAGAGGCCCAGGAAGGACAAGTTCCCAATGAAGAAGTACATTGGGGTATGGAGCCATGAGCTACGCCGTATCACCGTGATGAGGGTGATGTTGCCCACAAGGGTGGTGATGTAGGCTAAGGTGAACACCATGAACAAGAGAAGCTGCAGCTTCGGGTCAGTGGTGAACCCCAGGAGGATGAAGCTCGTGACTGAACTGTGGTTTCTCTCTTCCATGGACAGGGGAAAGGGACTGACCTGGAGACATGGATCATGATGGCTATTTGATATTTGCAGTGCGGGGTTTTGGGGCACCAGCTAAGCATGCATGCGCGCATACACAAAAGAAAAAAGCAGAGTAAATTTTGTGTTGAGAAGGGCTGCACTGTTATGATTTTGATTGTGCTATTTTATGTCAAATAAAGGTTTGGTGTTTTAATCACTTTGCATCACTTTGAAAGCTTTTTTTTGCCATGAACATACATACATACATGCTGTGCGTGGTGCTATGCATACAGGTATGCACACAAGCAGTTTCTATATATTGCATATAATGCATTAAATCCTTAATAAAACATATACAATAAACAGGATATGAAAATATGGGTATCTATATACTTGTATGTATGTATACATGTATCTCTCTAGGTATTTGCTGACTCTGCATTCCCTGACTTTTGTGAATGTGAAATCTCAATCTCAGTGTTGCATTAAATTACTCGTACATTGAGACTCCTTGATATGAAGTACACGTGGAGAAACTGGAGATACACATTGAAGAGAAATGCATGTAGATTCGCCATCTGGTACAAACCAACACAGTTTCATTAGATTAATTTTCATGAGTCATACCAGTAAAAACACTGTCTCATTAAGTTTTCTGTTTTGCATGAGCAAACATTGAATGGTTGGATGTTCATCCTAACGGTCATCATTACAGATGTGTGTATCTGGGAAGACCTCTGATTTTAGGCCCATTACTGAAAGCAGCAGTTATTCAGTGTGTTTGCACACCTGAGTACAGGCCACACTTGCATCTACAGAAGTTGGAATTCATCTCACCTGACATGGTCAGTCTAAAAACTAATTATTTCGTCTCTTTCATAGCCAGTGAAAGTGACAGACTCTTCCACAGGGAGACCAGAACGTGGGCTGTGTCCTGTTGCTTCCTTGCAACTTTCCCCATGCTCCAACTGGGTTTGCAAAGACCCTCTCCAAGTGCCTCTGGTGCTGGCTGCTTCTCAGAGGTGCTGCAGTGGGCTTGATGGTTTTCTCATCTGGCCTCATATGTTGATTCTAATGTTTGGCTTGTCATCAGGTAACACAAGGGATGAGCAGAAAGATGAGGGGACAAAGAAAAGAAAAACGAATCCCCTTGGAGATTTATCTTCTTGCCTATCCATGACACTGTATCCCTTGTTGGCCCTTTTTGCCCAGAAATACTTACTCCTGGTCTTGTCCAGCAAGCACTGATGGGATCACAACTTTAGAGATCATGAGAACAAAAGCGCAATGACGGTCTCTGTGTGGCTTCTCCACACCAGCTCATCTCACAGGGCAGAGCAAGCAGGTGTGTCCTCGCCTGTCCCAGCACCGCCCGTGGTGTGTGGCTGGGATATTTATCCATTGCCTTGTTCCGTGTTTCCTTTAAGGACCTGGTCCCTCAAGTGTGTAGTTCAGCTATTCAGTACAGCCTTTGCAGTGAACAAAAGGTTGCTGCACAGTTGTGCATCCCCCAGAGATCCCCTGACTTACTCCCTGCACCCCAGAAAGAGAATTTTCAGAGCTTTCATGGCTCTCCATGTTACGTGCTCATTATTTTCATCACTATAGCTGCAGAACAAAGATGCAATCTCAAGAACATCCAAGTTATTTGCATTTAGTTGATTATATCTTTTTACCAGTCTGAATCTGGAAGGCAACAAGAACTCTTCCTAGGAGTCTCCCCAGAGCATTCTTCACCTCCGTGTTCCTCAGGCTGTGGATCAGGGGGCTCAGCGTGGGGATCACCAGGGTGTAGACAATAGACACCACTTTTTCCTGGTCCGGGGAGTAACTTCAGCTCTGCAGTCAATGGGAAGAAGTGGGAACTTTTATGCAAAATTCAGATAAGCTATTTAGGATGTTTATTTCGGAGCAAGACCAATTGCTTCCTAGAGTATTTGGCAACAGGGTGGAGAATGGTCAGATGAAGAAGTCTACAGCTGTAGATGACAAAATTCAGTTAAATCATGATCAGACTCAACAGCTGGTATGCTAAATAAAAGCCCTGAGGTAGCTATAAAGAATATAGAAAAGAAAAAAAACAACAAAACGCCACTACAACCCCATAATTAGCTTTTAATTTCTCAAAAAATGTTGTCTCCAATTTTCTTTTGATATTTCTTTCTGGAGTCCTGCAGGCTGGGTTGCTCAATGAGAAATCCCACGCCAATCCAGGGGACTGGCCATCATGACTAGCACCAGACCGTGCACCACATGCTAATGCCACTGAATGACTCATTTCATGCCTTATCATTTTTTTTCCCCTTTGAGCAATTCAGTGCTCATCCAGTCTGTGTTGAAATTGTATAGATTTTGGTGGAATGAAATTAAACTTCAAGCACAGCTCATGAGCATATTTGGAGGGAGCTGTGCACTGCTGTTAACCCATGCAGACCAGCTGGTTTCCAGAGGTGAAAGATCTGCCCCAGCCAAGCGTTGAGTCCTCTTATGCATTTGTCTGGGTGTCTTCTCTCATTCCCAGGACAAATTTTTGGGAGCTAGAGACCAAAACCTGCCAGGTATCTTAGGGAAAGAAGCCACACAGACTCTCAACAGTTTGGGTTTTGGTTTTTTTTGTTTGTTTGTTTGTTTGTTTGTTTTTCAGGTTTTGATTTCTGCATTCCTTTAAATTAAAATTCATTGGCGGATTTTTGGCATTGTTGCACAGTTGAGCACAGATTGTGTTTTTGTATATTTCCTGAGTTACTAAGATTTAATGAACAGCATAAGGACAGTGAGTAAAAGCAATAACACAGACACAATCTGGCAGACTTCATAATATTTCAAGCTGATGATACTTTTCCTGCTTTTGAAGCTGCCTTAGACCCCTGCCAGAAAATTCTGCCCTGGTCCCCCTAGACACAAATTCTAATGAAAAGCTGGGCACCCAGTGACATTTAGGTAAGCTGTGAATATGGGATCAGGTAGGTCTTTGGTGAGTTCACTACCAGATAAAGGCAGAGTGACTTCAGAAGGGGGTCATGTTCAACTGGTCCTAAGTGCTGCCCATATCCCAGAGGGATGCAATGTTTGGAGTGGCTGTACACAGCCTGCCAAGGTTTTTGACCCCAAATCTCATTAGGAAAAAATAATAATGAAGAAAAAAGCCCATCATGGAAGTTAATAGAGGACCTACTTGTCAGAAAAGTTATAATAACATTTTGAAAATAATTGGTGCCTTTCTTTATATATTTATATATTTTACTAGATGAAGGCATCCCTCTTAGCCATGGGGCCATCAACAGCAGTTGTAAAGGGATGGTGAGAGATTATCACCAGGCAGCCCGGGTTTGTCTGAAAGGGTTTATAACACTTCTGAATTCTCACTGTCAAAACAAATACACATATGAACAGACAATATCATTCCCGCTAATAATGGCAGGAATAAGCGGTGTCTGAAATGCAGCTGTTGGAGGTTCTGAAAGTAGCAACCTACTCAAACAAACTAATACAGAGAGACCTCCATCTGTGTAAACTAAATCTCTTGGAGAATGCAGATAGGAAAGATTTTTGTGATTCCATACATCAAGACCACAGTATTGTGAATAATACATGTCATGGCACTTGGACCCAGTGGACAGATTTCAGTGAAAAGAATTTTGTTTAGGTAAGGCTACAGTTCTGGTATTGATTTGAGTTTCGGTGATTGCTATTGCCTTGCTCTTCTCATCAATGCTTATAGCAAAAGTAAAAAAAAAAAAAAGATAACATGAAAAAACAGTGGGGAGACATTTACTGTCTTCTTGAAGCTGGCAAAGGCAAAGATCAACACTTGGGGTGGGCTTTGGAGCAAGAGGGTGCTAACAAGGGGACACCATGACAGCAGAAATGGTTGCAAGAAATACCTTTGCATTGGCGAAATCCAGCTTAAGTGGCACTGAGAAAGTCACTTGAGAAAGATAATAACCAGGGGTGACTGCGGAAAAAAGTTGAGATTTGCTTTTGGTGAATCATGTAGACATTCACTTTTCATCCACTCCCTCTCCTCAGCATGGGAGCGGGGGAAGACATCTTCTTAAATCCAGACATTCAAAGTGAATTTTTCCTGGGCTTCATTAGTGAGCCTGGAGACAAAGAAATTTATATTCCAGGTGGATTTTGCTTGTTGTCAAGCTTCTGTTCTCCATGGACTGAAATGCCTCCAAGGTCACAGAAAAGAGTATAAACACCACTTGAACACTAAAAAGTACAGAGGGGCTTCGTCTGCCCTCTGGAAGGTGCAGCAACAAATCATTCTCAGTGCAGCTTTTAAGGAAAGAGTGCTAAAAAGCACTCTCAACATTTGTTTGAAGATGAATTATGGCCTCGGTCATCGTCTGGAAGAGCAGCCAAGCTCATCCCAGTTGCTGAAGGAACTGCATGGACCTGCACTGAAGATCTGAGTTTTGTTGGAGAAGTAGTGTCCAAGGTGAGGGCATCTTCTGTTCTGGCCAGTCCTCAGCCCTGAACCTGCTCTGAAGCAGCAGGACATGAAGGGATATCATGGGGCTAAAGTAAGCACCCCTTTCTTTTGGTCTGATAGACTTGAAGGTGGTGAGATAGAGGAAAGAAAGGACCAGAGGTGTAAGACATCTCATTTATAGCAACGAGACTGAGAACAGCAGAAGGAATTCTACATGGGGGGGAGGATTCTTCTGCTTTAAAGTTTAGATGACATAAAACAAGGAGACATGTAGGTGTTTGGTCTTTTCATAGGTGCCACTGTAATGGCAAGGGATGGCCCTGATGGCCAAGGCAAGAGGGTGCTCACTACCTACAGCACCTACAGAGTATTATCTCCTCTCCCTGCCCAGCTCCTCCTGTGTTTGCTTGTACGGTGTCGGCTCTATGTCCAAGTTCGTTTCCCCGTTGCCACTGTGCCACCACGAATTTCCTTTCCTATGGGGTTGTCAAGACTGTGTATACTGAAAACTGCATGTTCGTATCAGTTTTGAAAGAAAAATGCACACTTTTGCTCTGTTTTGTTTTGCAAAATCAACAAGAAAACTAATTCTGCAATTTCTGCAAGATGAATTGTTCCATGTTGTTTTATTTAAAAAAAAAGATTTCTTTTAAAAATGTACCTGTCATTTACTAAGGAAAAAACAAAATGCATTAATTATCTTAATTTTTTTTTTAAAAAGGTTATTACTAAGAATGCCTGTGTTAAATTTCCCCAGGAAGGGGGAGATGAAATGCTGAATTAAGCCCTGGTGGGCATTCTCACTGTTCAGCTTCACAAGTAGGTTTTGGTTTTAGGATCCTTTCGAAGCCTCTGGATGGAGGCTTGGTTCTTGCGAGAGTGATCCAGAGTCCAGCTGACATTTTATGACCCTCTGGTAGGAAGGGCTCTGCCTCCCTTCAGTGACACCGAGGAAGCCGAGGGTGCTGCTGAGCTGCCCAAATCATTGTCTGCCACTTTGCCTGTCTCCCACAGGCTGAATGCGTTACAGAGAATGACACCTGTCAATCACACTGATGTGCGTGAGTTTGTTCTCTTGGGCCTGACTGCCTGCCTGGATCTTCAGGTTCCCCTTCTCTTGTCTTTCCTGGCCATGTACATGGTGACCCTCTTGGGGAACTTTGGGATAATTATATTAATCAGGACTGATCTTCACCTTCACACCCCCATGTACTACTTCCTTGGCCACTTGGCTTTTGTCGATGTCTGCTATTCCTCCGTCATCCTCCCCAAAATGCTGGTGCAGATCTTGACGGAGGAGAAAACCATCAGCTTCTCGGGGTGCGCAGCCCAGCTCTGCTGCTTTGTTATTTTTGGGGTCACCGAGTGCCTCTTGCTGGCCGTGATGGCCTATGACAGGTATGTGGCCATCTGCAAGCCCCTCCTGTACCCTGCCATCATGTGCGAAAGGATGTGCCGGTGGCTTGTTGCCGGTTCCTACTGCGTTGGCGTCTTGCACGCGGTGATGCACACCACTTTCATCTTCACTTTCTCCTTCTGCCGCTCCAATGTTATCAACCACTACTTCTGCGACATTGCCCCGCTCTTAGCTCTCTCCTGCTCCGACACCCACACCTACGAGGTGGTCGTCCTTGCTCTCATCAGCCTAAACTGTCTCAGCACCATGACCATCATCTTTGTCTCCTACACTTATATCCTCCCCACCATCCTGAGGATCGGCTCTCCGGCGAGCAGGACAAAAGCCTTCTCCACCTGCGCCTCCCACCTGACGGTCGTCACCATGTTCTATGGGGCAATCTTGTTCATGTACCTGCGCCCCAGTTCCACCTATGCGTTGGATGAGAACAAGATGGCCACGCTGTTTTACACCGTCATGACCCCCACGCTGAATCCCTTGGTCTACAGCCTGAGGAACAGTGAGGTGAAGGCTGCCCTGAGAAGAGCGGTTGGGAAAAGGCAGTGAGCGAAGGAAGCTGGTGACCAGGAGAGTATTTCCTTATTGCTGTTATTGAGTGGGACTCAAAATTGCACTGAAGTCTGTACTGAGGATAGTTTCTTTGTAATTCATCTCCCTTAATTATAGGGATAAGTCAGGTGACTGACACTGGCTCGGATTAGACAGGTAACTTCTGCACAGCTGAAGCTGGGTGAGGTGAAGCCCAACCTCATGCAGCATCAATGGTCAATGAGCAGTGGGCAGCTCCTCCACACAGCTCGATTCACCCTGTTCATCTCATTTCTCTGTTCAACGACTACAAAGAAAGCCTGGATTGCAGTGGAGGTGGGTTTCCAGACTGCTAAGGTTCAGAGGAGCACCCAGAAGAAGAGTCAGAAACCCTTTTTCCATGGAGTGTCTCTCTGAAACCCAGTGCCTACAGAGTTGGGTGGGAATGGGTAGGCCTGAAGGACTATGGGATATCATATAATCAGTTAATAACTCAATCACACAATTCTTCACTGTAGTTTCTCAAGCTATTACCTGTGGCTTGGCACTCTAATAAAGGCTTTTTCACCAAAAACTTGATTCCTGCAAATGAAGTTGCAGGTTGAGTTCAAGGTGTTTGGTCCTTCCTGATGTCACAGTGAGTGTTGGCGCTATTTTTCCTGGAAGCCTCTGGGCATTTTGAGCCTCACCTTTGCTGTTCCTAAAGCTGCTTCTCAGATGGTGCAAACATAAATAACTTAGTCACACATCGGGTCAATAACAACTGTTTCACCATTCATTGGACCATCGATGCTGCATTTCCCAGCACTTTGAAGACTGTTAAGAAATAGACTTTCTGTATAATACACCAAGAAGTTACAGAAAGGGGATTGATGCTGATACCCTGAAGGTCTCTGTCATAGTATTATGAAACAAATAACTTCAGGTAAAAAATACAAGTAAACAACTGTAAAGTTGGGATAAACAATGTTCTTACTCAAGTAAATTTTCCACCCAGTTGATATTTCCTCACACCCCCCAAGAAATAGGCACCTCTATATGTAATTCACTTTGTTGCAAGACCAGTTTCTAAAGCAAATCACATGGATCACACACCAGAAACGCCTGTCTGTCTCCTAGCAATGGAGAGCTGTATGCATGTATGCATTTGATAGATATCTAGGACTATTAGGTGAATCCACACAATCTGTCCAGTCTTTTGTGAGCTGCTCTACTTGTAAGACCAGTTTTATTTTTTTAAATTAAATTTAATTTAATTTTTAAATTTTGTTTTATTTTTATATTCCTCTGTTGTACATATATATATTGTACATATGTATATGTTTGACAGAGGAATATAAAAATAATTGCATTTCTCCCAAAGGAAGTTTTCCAAAACACTTCTCAACAAAAGCGCCTCAGAAGTCTCAGTGGATTAGAGACAAGAGTTAAAAAGCAATTAAACCAGGCAGGCTGGACAGACCAAACATCTAAGTGTCCTCGCAATGTCATGAATTAGTGTGAAGTAAGAAGGAAGACCTCAAGTGGTAAGGAAAAGAGGACATCCAGATTTGTTTTACAGCTGAAACTTTAAGGTGATGTATAATTTTAAGGGGGTATATCATATCTTTGCAGACTATAATATATAATTCTTTGCAGGGAGCAAGAAGGAGGAGAACAGCTTCCTTCTTCAGAGATGAGGTCTGTAAAGATGAATTTGATTGTTCTCGGTTGTATCTTTAGTAAACAAACCAAGACGAGCTATTCTTTTCATGTGAGAGCAATAAGCAAGATGGGAAGGAAAATCACACAGCACACAAATTTTCTGAAGGTTATAACACCAGTTATAATTTTTTATAATTTTGGAAGGTTATAATACCAGTTACCAGATAAAATACAAGTTATAATATGTCTTTATCTCTGCAATGCTGGGGAATCCCATTGAGTAATTTTGTGATTCTACAGGTTTTTCTGCAGTGTTTTAAACCCCTATAGCTGTGTCAATAAATGCTTGAGTTTGCTGACACACAGCTAAATCCCATGCACTTCTCCTACCTTGCTACATAGTTGATTTGATTTTTTTCCATTATGAATATAAGCCAGGCTCATTGATGCCAGTTTTACAACAATTTACCTGCTGATTTTCCTGATGGGAAAGCTGTACTCATTCCACTAAAGAGATTTAGTTACAGTGGCAGAAACCCTATGAGCAGCACAGTATTTTCCATGATCTTAGACTAAAAGTGGGCCGGTTTACTCAACAATTCTCTTGGCTCTTTTCTTGGTTTGTTTTAAATACATATTTTTGTTACAGTGGCTGCTTCTGGACCACTGTGGAGGGCTCCTCCGTATTTCTCATGGATATCTGTGATAAAAAGTCAGGATGCATTGGGGTATTTCCATATATTTAAAACTCCCAAGTATGAATTTTAGAATGAGGAGGCATAGAGAAATATGTTGTAAAGGCAAAGATTTTTTTCTGCCATCTTTTTTTTTAATGGTTTCTTTTCTCCCAAATGATGGCACAGCACCATTTGCATACGCTCCGTAAAAGTGTAACCCCAAATTAGCAAAATAAATGAAAAGTTATGAAAGAATAAGGGGGATTTTCATCTTTTCTCTCTGCAAGCAAAATAATCTTTAAAAAAAACTCCACTGGGAAGGCTTCCTAAAATTTGAAAGGTTATAATCTAGCTCAAATTCTCTGAAAAGTCTATTTTCATTATCGATATAACAAATATGTTACAGGAATCACTGAACCCTTTCTTTAACTCTTTTTTGTTAGAACTTGGGAGGGTTACACTGAAATGTGATATATAGTACGAGTGCACCAGAGATAAAAATATATATATGTATCAAAATGAATGAAAAATTGAACACTTGGCAGAGTAACTGACACCAAAATAACATTTCCACTGTCTCGCCAAATTGTTTTTTGATGAATGTTGATTTAAAGTTAAACCAGTCTCTGATAATGAGAGGGTTAGTCAGTACAGGCACTGGGGATTGTTGGTCTTTTCAGCTGCTCAGTCTCTCCATTAATTTATTATTGTTACCATGGCTCTATGAACATAACTTACAGTGCTTTTGGAGAAGATGGCAGAGGAAAATCAAACCGAGCAAGTTACAGAGTTGACTCTCGTGGGACTGACAGACAACCCACGACTACAAGCGCCTTTGTTTGTGCTGTTCCTCCTCATTTACTTCATCACGCTGGCAGGGAACCTGGGCATGGTTGTGCTGATCAGGAGCAGCAGGCAACTTCAATCACCCATGTACTTTTTCCTTAGCCATTTATCTCTCCTAGACGCTTGCTACTCATCGGTGGTGGCACCGAGGACATTAATGAACCTTCTGATTGAGAAGAAAACAATCTCTCTAGCCAGCTGTGCCACCCAGCTTTTTTTTTTCATAGCTTTTGGGACCACGGAGTGCTTCCTTCTGGCTGCGATGGCATACGACCGCTACACGGCCATCTGCAACCCTTTGCTTTACCCATCGGTCATGTCTCACAGGCTGTGCGTCCTGCTGGTGGCTGGTTCGTACGTCCTTGGGCTGCTGCACTCTTTGGTGCACACGGACTTCACCTTCAGCCTGCCCTTCTGCCAGCCAGCCAAGGTCGACCATTTCTACTGCACCATCATGCCTGTTCTAGCGCTGTCCTGCTCCGACACCCACGTCAACAGGCATCTGATATTCGGCCTTGGGGGACTGGTGGAGATGGTGACCATCTTGGCAGTCCTGGTCTCCTACGCCTTCATCCTCTCTGCCGTCTCAAAGATCAGCTCTGCTAAGGGCCGGCACAAAGCCTTCTCCACTTGCACCTCTCACCTGGCTGGAGTCACCATCTTCCACGGGTCTATCCTTGCCCTGAACTTCCGACCAAGGTCCAGTGACACTCTGAGCACCGACAAGACCTTTTCTGTGTTTTACTCACTGGTGGTGCCCATGCTGAACCCCCTGATCTACAGCCTCAGGAACAAGGAGGTGAAGAACGCCCTGAGGGATTTTGCCATGTGGAAGTAGCTTTGGCATGATATTTATCTGCTGGTTTTTTGATAGACAATGCCATAGTTTCACTTAACGACAAGGATTTTTGTTTCCCCACCCTATTACTTAGGCTTCCAGATTTGGTTTGAAAATATTTCCAAGTCTTGCTTGGTTTCTACTACTGGCTTGTGCCCATCATCATATACCATAGATAGTCTGATTCATCTTCTGTATTTTATTGCATGTAGCTTTTTTTTCTTCCTTCTTGGTCTTTTCAGATGTACATTGGACATTAGCTCCAGGCTCCTTGATAGATAGCCCTGTCAAATTGCTCTTCCACAGCCATCAGCATCTCCCAGTTTATAGCTTAAAACCTGCCTTATGACCTTTTTTTATTTTCAGGGCCCTGGTCCCTTATCGTTAAAGGGCAATGAATCTTTCCTGTACAAGCACAAGAAATTTAATGAACATAATTAATGAAATTTTTTTTTTTTCAGGAAAAAACGGCATTTGTCTCACCTATGTTAGGCACTGCTCGGAAATATCTGTCCTATCTATTATCTGAAGGATAAAGCTAGATAAGGTATCTAAAGCTAAAGATTTGGTAACTAATTGGGTTACATGAATATAGTCTTAAATGCTGAGGTCAGTATGGGCCAGGTTTTGAATGATCTACAGAGCACCCCATTTTCTCTTTCCAGAATGTTCAGGCTGATCTAACTGCATCTGAAGCATAGGACAAAGAGGCACATTTCCAGCTCTTCCTGCCAAAAAGTTGCTTGCTTTTTGAGGTCTCAGACCTCAAATGACCTCTATCATGTCATTTCACGGGGGCAGTTTGTGTCTACAGCCACAGATTTCTACATTTTGTAGATACCTTCTCTGCAAAGATCGAAGCAAAATAATACACTGATGCTCTTAGTAGAAAAAGTATTTCCAAAAAACCAAGCCTGTTTCTCATGTTGCAGGAGTTCACAATTCTGCCTCTCCTGCACTTTAGATGGAAGTTCTTGGAAGTTCACTGAGTTGGATCCACCACACATAAGACTATGGCAATCCAGACCTCTTTTAGGAATGCAACACCAAGTCTGGGTAAACTTTTAAGCATTTTAGTTGTCTCTGCTTTGGGAACTTAATTAAAACCAAGAGGAAATAAGAACACCCAGAGTGGGGTAATTCACCAAGCAGCAATGAGCCCTACATACTACATTTCTCACCTAGGCTCCCTTTCTCACAAAAGGTCGGACCTGATGATCTTTCGAGGTCCACCTTGGGCTTTCTGTGGTTCTGTGATTCTATATGTATAGTATAAGCAAAAATATCCAACAAAATAGAAGGAAGAAAACAAGGTGTGGTGAAGATTTTAAAAGAAAGAAACTATCTGATATGAAAAGTCTCTGTCTTGCCAAGCTCTTTAGCATTTAATTACATTCATTCTGGCTCCTTTATTTGACTGCAGGTGGAAGCCACTTTTCCCCCAGGCCTAAGACAACGTGTCCTCTCCCGCTGCTGTTTGCCAGAGCACACAACAAAGATTGTTCACCATCCATCTACTTTCCAAATATAAGTTAAGTTAATTCCCATGCTACTCACAACAGCTAAGGGAAAGATATTTTTTTTGCTGCAGCGTTTCCCTGCTGCAGACAAGGCGTGTGAGTCTGTAACTCTGTGGAGTCAGAACTCATCGCATCACCCAAAGGTGTCCGAGCGGCATCAGCAGACAAGGGGCAACCAAACTCAAGTGTGTGAGAAGGAGCAAGACCCTGTGCTGAACTTATCCAGCCAACCTGAATTTTGTAAGGAAGTTGCAGAATTGCACCCAATCACAAATGCTTATGAGTGTGCACCCAAGAAACAACAAATGTCCTTTGGAATTAATTAGGCTGAGCAGAAATTAGGATGCTTTTTCTCTTATGTGCCTGCCAGGTAAAGATGAAGGATTGCTGGCCCCTCCCCAGTGTTGTGGCCATTCCTGTACCGTGCTTTATGTCCCCCCTTCTTTAATGAGCCATAATTTGCAGAACTGCTGGTTTTTGGCTTTTTTCAGACCCAGACAGCTATCAGCTACCCATAGATTATGTGTTCAGGATTATCTTTCAACTATGGAAACTAGACACATGCTTAATTTTTAAATGAAACACACCATTTGGTTTTTGTAGCCTGCTTTAGCATGAGCTGGGCATTTGGATGCAGGACACTGATGCCAGTCTCCAGGTGTAATTCCATTTGCCTCACCAGTTAAGTAAATGGCACTTGCGATGAATGTAAAACACCACTTAAAATGAATGGGAGGCCCCCTTGGTGCTATCACTGTGCAGAAATTGTCCTTAACACTGGGCAGTCTCAGCACAGTTCATCGTCCTGTATTTTTAATTATGTTGCCTACACTTTCTTCCTTTGAGTGAAGATGTATGCCGAAGTGTGCAGTGTGACATTCAAAGGTATAGCTTGAGATCCTGACTCCCGCCGGCTTTTTCACTTTTTAAGTCAGAAACAAATGCGCTGCATCTTTTCAAGCCTTTTATCTTACTTTTTTTCAGCAAGCAAATTTTAAAATACACTTATTCTTCCAAAATGTTCCCTCCCACCCCAGCAGCTTATGTCTAATAAATAACTTGCAGGTAACAGTGAGGAATTTTATTGGACTTTAGGGACAAGGTCACTAATCTTGCAAGAAAAATACATATTTATCAGTGAAAAAAAGTTATAAATCAATAAAACTATGATTTGTGCTTCCTGTGAGAAAAAGAGGCCTGGAATAATTTGGGGTAATCTCTTCCTACAGGCTGGTGACTGCAAAGTGAAATAAAGTTTGAGGCTCCCACTCCTCCTGGTTTCCTTCCAAGGAAGATGTGATTGTGGGGTCTATGTCTCAGGGCTAAGTACTGTAATTCACTTTTGTGCAGAAATTGTGGAAGAACCTACATAAAATTGTGAGGATTAGGGAAAAAATATGATTGTTTTAATGCATCACAGGCTTTCTCACTTAAGATAAACTGTTCACTTCCTAGCTGATACAACTCTTTGATGTCGACAGCGGTTTAACATCCTTCTCCTGCACTTCACCAGAGCACCCTTCACCTCCTTGTTCCTCAGGCTGTAGATGAATGGGTTGAGCATGGGGGTGACCACGGTGTAGAAGATGGAGGCCACCTTATCCAGGCTGCTGTGGCGAGACATGGGTTGTAGGTACATGAAGAATATTGTCCCGTAGAATAAGGAAACAGCCATCAAGTGGGGGACGCAGGTGTTGAAGGCTCTGGATCTGCTCCGTGCTGAGCGCATCCTCAGGACGGTGCGGAGGATGCAGATGTAGGAGAGCAAAATGATCGTGCTCGTGCCCATCCCATTTATGGCGACAAAGGCAAAGATGACCGTCTCACTGCTGTGGGTGTCGGAGCACGTGAGCTTCAGCATGGGGCTGATGTCGCAGAAGAAGTGGTCGATCTGGTTGGGTCCGCAGAAGGAACCCCCAAAGGTGCAGCCCATGCAGATGATGGTACTGAGAAAGGCGATGATGTAGGACGATGCTACCAGCCGCCGGCAGACGTGGCTGGAGATGACCATCACGTAAAGCAGGGGGTTGCAGATAGCAACATGCCAGTCATAGGCCATCACGGCCAGGAGGTGACACTCGGCAGTCGCAAAGAAAGCAAAGGTGTGGAACTGCGTCACGCAGCCAGCGAAAGAAATGGTTTTATTCTCCGATAACATGTCTGCTAGCATTTTGGGGGAGATGACTGTGGAATAGCAGACATCAGCGAATGAATAATGGGTGAGGAAGAAGTACATGGGGGTGTGCAGGCTGGGAACCACCCAAACCAAGACCATAATCCCAATGTTCCCCACCAAAGTGACAATGTAAATCAATAGAAACAACCCCAAAGGAGGGGTCTGCACGTGTGGACTGTCTGTAATTCCCAAAAGGACGAATTTAGTCTGTGTGTGATTTCCTCCCATCACCAGATGTTACCTGCTGAGGCAAAAGTAAGAAAAATATCAAAATGATAAAAAATAGAGTTCCACTTTTGGACCGTATTTCACTCCAATCAATCACCAGTTTAACTGTCACATTTTGGTATATTCTGCTATATTTTCTAAACCCAAATTGTATATGTTTTTTCTTTTTCAGTTGAGGTACTTAGAAAAGAACAGGGAGTGAGATGAAGCAACACGAATGGCAATTTTGTTTTTCTGTGCTTGGATACTTGAAACTATGGATGTATTCTAGCACCCGTGTTTTCAGATTTAAGAAAAGAATCAGATCTTTATTCACTTTCAGTTTGAAAGCAATGTCAGAAGACACCTCAGAGGAACCTCATAGGACTGCACGTAAACCTGGAGCAATGGAAAGTCACAGTCCCAGTGAAATCATAGATTACACAACATTAATGACCTCCAGACATTTTGCCTTGGCTTTTAATTATTATTGCAGTTTTCAAATCACATTTATCATACAATTATATATCATTTGTAATGGATAAAATTCACATTGGTAAATTCATGATTTATACCTTTATGAGTGCCAGCACGCTGAAGCATCCTGAACCTATGGCCATGAAGTTGCTTACTTGAAAACTGAGTTAATTTTAAAACATGCTGATTCCAAAGGCTGTTTTGTTAATGACTATATTCTGCTGACAATTTGAAATGTTGCATTTCTTTGTAACACAATAAGACTCGTCCTTATTTAACACTTGCATAAATCAGTTTATCTTGCTTTAGCTGCCTAAGTAAAAGAAAAACAATTTGCACAAGCCATTACTCCCTCTTATCATAAAGAAAACCTACTTTGGTAAGGCTGTTTTCCAACAGATGCCCCAAAAAGAGGACATGAGGACATGAAGAAGAAAACCCACTGCCAAAACGCAGGCGAGGCTCTGCTTTGTCTTGGTCTTATGGGTCCTCCTGTGCCTTCGCTGCTATCGAGTGAGGGGAGCCAAGAGTTTATCCCAAATGCAGCAGAGGACATCGGTGCATCCGCATAACCTCTATTAACCGCCCAATGTGAAGAGACATACGTTCCTTCCCCGACT